AAAAAAACCTATTTGAAGAAATAATGACTGAAAAGTTCCCTAACCTGGCAAAGGAAATAGATATACAAGCCCAGAAAGAGCAGAGTCTCAAACAAGATGAACCCTAACAGGACCACACCAAGACACATCATAATTAAAATGCCAAAGGTTAAAGACAAAGAGAGAATCTTAAAAGCAGCAAAAGAAAAGCAGTTAGTTACCTACACCTACAGGGAGGTCCCATAAGACTAACAACAGCTAAGGAATTGGGAGGAAATATTCAAAGTGATGAAAAACAGTACCTACAACCAAGATTATTCTACCCAGCAAGGCTATCATTTAGAATTGAAGAACAGATAAAGAGCTTCCCAGGCAAGAAAAAGCTAAAGGAGTTCCTCACCAGCAAACCAGTATTACAAGGAATGTTGAAGGAACTTCTCTAAGACAAGAAAAAAAGATAAAAAATATGAATAATAAAATGGCAATAACTACATATCTATCAACAATTACTTTAAATGTAAATGGATTAAATGTTCCAGTCAAAAGATAGGGTGGCTGTTATCCAAGAAAACAAGACCCTTACATACGAGTATGCTGCCTACAAGACTCACTTCAGATCCAAAGTAAAGGGATGGAAAAAGATATTTCATGAAAATGGAAAGAAGAAAAAAAAAAGCTGTGGTAACAAAACTGATACCACACAAAACAGACTTTTTTATTTATTTATTTATTTGTTTGTTTGTTTGTTTGTTTGTTTGTTTATTTTTAAGATTTTTTTATTGGGAAATTGGGGGAAGGGGAACAGACAAGTTGCTATCCTTTTTTGTTCTTCAGTCTAGTTGTGGAGGACATTGCAGCCCAACGTTGTGGTGGCCCAAGTTGACACCATTTATTGCGCTCTTCCCAGGTGAGGCAGATCAGTCGCTGGCTTCTGGACGGCCGCTCACTGCAGCTGCTGGCCGCTCATGCTAGCTGCTGGCTACACACAGTAGCCCATGGCAACCCACCTGTTGTAGCCGGCGACTCAGGGCAGCCCAGCTCCAGGTCGAGCTGTTGTTCAGCATCTTAGCTGTAGAGGGCAGTGTCACTGGCCCTCATATGTGGGAT